GAAAGAGAGGTAAAGGGAAGGAAAGAGTTGGAAAACAGAGCATGTCATCTATAATATCATGTAATTGCCAAAGAAGGAAACCAGCGCCTGTCTCTTTAAAGGTGACCAGATTTTAGACAGACTTATTGTAGACAAATGAAGAGACTTCTGTATCATGGAGCTCAGCTATAAATAGACAAAGATAATAGGTTTTCAAGGTTGAACTAGGGAAGGAACAAAGATAATAGTCCCCTTGTTAAAGTCCTAACACTATAAAAATACGCTTTGAACATCACTTTTCACATTATTCAGGGTGACTTTAGTGTTATTTAAAGTCACGGTAATCCATGGTAACTTTTTTGAAGGGGAAGGTTGGGAAGGTTTTTTTTTTGGTCACACTCAGTGATGCTGAGGGACCACTACTTGCTCTGTGCTCATGGTTAACTTCTTGCAATACTAGGGACCATTTGTCGTGCTGGGGGTCAAAATAAAGGGTGTTGTAACCTCTGGACTTATCTCTCTGGTCCTGCATTTCAACTCTTAGATAGTGCTTAATATATTTTCTTTGTTTTGTAATTATTTGTATCCTTATTCATTCCAATTATAAGACATCCTCCATCATCCACAGTGAAAACAAACACAAAACCAGAATAATGATGCTTAACGCATGTTAGAAAAATTAATCTAAGTGTGAGACTTCATATGTTCTGAGGATAATAGAATTTTTTACCTTGTTTTACATCTAATTTTCTGTTTTTATTATATTGGACTTTCACTTGGCTTTTTGCTTTCTCCTATTGTGCTTGTTTTTTAAAAAGATTTTATAAAGAAAGTTACCTTTCAGACCAATAGCATTTTTATTCCAACAGTCACCCAAAAGATGTAGAGGTCCACTATGATTACTAGGTAACAAAGAGATAGTATAGATTCTTACCTTTTGGAGAAAGCTAAGAAGCATAAACTGTGAATGATCAGCTCACAGATTATCTGATGGTTTGTCAAAACATTAACATATGCCCTGGGAGTTAACAGATAATTTATAGAGAACTGTAAATTGTCCTTTTTGACTTGATCAGTTTGCAAAATCCTGTCACTATAGTGATGCTGTTCTTTAAGTACAATTTGTTAATTAATAGGAACTGAATTTTAACATACTCATATTTGCAGTACTATCAAACTTGAAGAACTCAACTGTAATTCAAAATAAACTTTATAGATTATGATTATTTACTTAAAGGAAGTTGCCAAATATAAGCTTTTTTCCTAGTAAGTTCTTTTAAAAGCTAATATTTTTAAACAAAATACCTCCTATTTGCCAATACCCTTAAGAGTTCATCCAGGTGGTTGATAAATTGAGTTGCATTTACTGCTACAATCTCACTTCTCTTAACTTGTTATAATCTAATTGGTAAGATTTTAAAATTCCTAAGATTTTTGATAGCACTGTTATGATTCACTTTGACTCTTTCTCTCACACCTCCTTCATGCTTCATAATCAAATTAACCTCAGTTAATACCCAACTCTGATGGTAAGTCTGTCTTGGAACTGCAGTTTATATGAATTGCCTTCATCTCTGCCTCCCTGTTTTCCATCACATCACCCACAGACATTTAATGTGTGTTATTGTATTTCTCTGTACATTTGCATTTTTCCTAATTGAGTATAGAATTTATAAGAGGAGAGTAATAAATTATTTAAATATTCTTATTTCTGCTTTTTTGTTTTTGTTGTTTTTCAATTTCTGTTTCGGAGCCACACCCAGTTGTGCTCCAGCCTTAGTCCTCACTCTTTATAGGTATTGGAGTGCCTTTTGGGGTGCCAAAGTATTGAACCAGGGTCATCAGAATGCAAGGCAAAAGACCTACCCTCTATACTATCTGTCTAGTCCTCCTGTTCTTATTTCTTAGAAGAATGTCCTTCTCTTAGGGTATCCTATTATTGTAGACAAATGAAAAAACTTCAGTATAATGGAGCTCAGCTAGACATAGATAACAGGTTTTCAACGTTGAACTAGGGAAGGAACAAAGATATTAGTCCCCTCTTTAAGTCCTAACACTATAAAAATATACTTTAAACTTTTCACATTATTCAGGATGACTTTAGTGACTTATTTAAAGTTTGAAATAAACTTTCAGTTTGAAATAAACTGCCCTCAAATCTTTAAATAGATTCACTGGTATAACGATCTCTTGAGAAACACCAAAGTGATGTATTTACAACTTAATATAAATAATAGAACTTAAAACTGGAATAAGCCTTTAAATTTACTAAGTATCTGACATATAAATGGGAAATGAATTTGATAATATAATCAAATTCAGGTGTTGGTTTTTTGGATAATAAAACTCTTTTAGTAAATTTTAACTTTGACATAATTATAGATTCACATGGGTTTTAAGAAACACAGATTCTTTGTGCCCTTCAGATATTCTCCCCTATGAGATTGCCTTTCAATTGACATTTAATTTTGTATCAAAATATATGTTATTAATCTAACAGCTGTCAGACGAAATTCTCTAGCTCCTTTTAAAAATTTCTTTCATGGGCATATTTGATCATCCTCACCAAAGACTAGAGAACTCTAGAGAGATTTTTCATGAAAAAAATAAGGAAGTCCTCTAAATTTGAGCCCCTTAGAAAGTCACTCATATTCACAGATGTTTATAATAAAGGCAGTCATTGTCCATTACCCACAAGATTATCAAATTATAGCTCACTAACATAGAGATCCAAAAATTATTTTCAGAATTTGTAAGGACCTTAAATTACCTTAGGTCTCCTCTCTTTGTATTTTGAAGCACACTGAACCTTTTCAAGCTAGATTTAACTGGTTGCAGAGTAGGAAAAATAGTCAATTTATAAAAAAAAGTAACTCTGGGGTTTCTGAGTTAAGTATGATCTACCATATGGAGTCCAAGCTAAAAGTATTTTAGGCAAAGGTTTGTTAATATTTTTATCATCTCATTTTTTTGCCAGTCTATTACTATTATTTAACCCCACACTTTACTTCAAAATTTTGGTATATTTTTTGCTAAAATCATTCTTTCTTCTTTTGCTTTTGTCTTGTGGCGACACCAGTGGTGCTCAGAACTTACTCCTGATTGTGTGCTCAGGTATCACTCCTGGCAGATTTGGGGGACCATATGGGGTGCTGGGAATCAAACTTGGGTTTGTCGCATGCAAGGGAAGTGCGCAACCGCTGTACTCTGTGGGGTAAAATGTTCCAGTCTCTTTCAACATGCCTGCAGATCCAAACAATTATTCGAAAACAAGTGATAAAGAAAAATTCTTTATAAGAATTGCCCTGTCTTTTAAATTCTTAACGTATAGGGAAACTATTATTTTAAATGTTTCATATAGGATTTAAGAAACAGAAATTTGATGTGCTCTTCAATCACTTTCCTCTATGAGGCTCTATTTTTGTGGGAATAAATGTGTGTGTGTGTGTATATATATGTGTGTGTGTGTGTGTATGTGTATGTGTGTATGTGTATGTGTGTATATATGTACGTATTGCACATTCTGAGCAACAACCAAGATGAGGAAAATGGATGTGAAAAAGAAACATCTGATCTGACTGAAGAGACTGTACCAGGGGGTTAGCACTGCCTTGTATGCAGCCAACCATGGATTAATCCCAGGCACCATAAAAGGTACCCAAGCACTGTCAGAGATCACTTCTGAGCATAAAGCCACGAAAAACTGTTGATTACTATTGGGTGTGGCCCAAGTCCCTCAAAATATATAAATAAAAAGAAAAACCTGTCTCTTTCATTCTCCACGATTTTTCTTTGCATTGAGTTTGTCAGTTGAGATCTCTTTAACTGCATTACTGAGGAGATGTCTTGTGTTTGGTCAGAAAATTCCTAAAGGATATAGAATCCTATGGGATAGCTACATGAGCCTAGAATTCACATCAAATTACTCTAGGTCCAGAAATCTTGCTAATCAGATCACAGTTTCTTTATACTGAATTTACTTACCAATAATTATTTAATAAAAAGTAGCTTTAGCGACTGAAATTCTCTTAACCTAAAATGGATGGATATTTTAAGTAGATTAAATGCCTTCTCTCTAACTCTCTAACCTTGTCAGAAAAAAAAACATTTCTTTACATGCATCCATCAAAATTTGTCTATAAGGGGAAAAGGTTTTTTATCATTATTAATTTCCTCAGTTTTCTAATTTTTTGCCGAAGGAAACACTTAGGTTTGAAATACTGGTGAATTTTCACTCCTCTTTGAACAGCAGTTCTTTCATTTTGAGATAACATGAATGTGATGAGGATGTGACTTAAAAGTGGTCGAGCACCTGGCTGGTGTGTGCAAAGGCCGTGGGATCAGTTTCTGCTCCACTTGGTCTCAGAGTACCTGGAGTGGCCCTTACCCTTTCCAGGCATGCCAGCATGTAGGGCTGTGTCTGCCATAACAGTAGCAACAATGCAACAAAAAATTGTGCTAAATGCTTTGTGGATGTTGGAATTTGTTTCTTTGTATCTCAAAAAGTTAGTATAGTTGCTGAAACTAAGTTTGTTGCTTATCTTTAACCAAGAGATTTATCAATGTGTTCGACAAAGAAGAAATAGTTTACCACTGTTTTCACAGATTAAGGTAAATCTGACATATTATTGACATGTGCTATAGATTCCATTTAATACCATAGTACAGATGTGTGCTCTGATAAATTTTTGTGAAATCTAGTCTAAAATGAGTAGCTTCAATATTTCTGAGTTGAAAATGCAGAGCTAGCAAAGAGAGCATTTTAATTAAAACAATATTTTTCCTATATGTTCAGAGTAAAAGGCAGGAGAATTCTTTTACAGATTTGCCACTTGTTTCCACATAGTTTTCTGAGAGTGTAGGCATGTTGAAAGAGGTTGGGACCTTTTCTCCTCGTTTTTATAAAATCTTTGAATTTAGAACCATTAAAAATTGAACTCGGTTGTTTCTTCTGATTTTTCTTTCTTGAAACTAAATTCATGAAACTCTTTAAATTTAGACTTTTAAATTATATGTTTTAGGTATCCTGGAGATAACTTCAGTGGAAATCGGAGTCGTTGCCGTCAAAGCCATTAACAGCAACTATTATTTAGCAATGAACAAGAAGGGGAAACTCTATGGCTCAGTAAGTATTCTGCTTTATTTTCGAAATCCACAGTAGTAAATCATTACCACAGTTTTGGACTGTTTCCCCCAGACATTGAATCGCTTTGTTATCATTCTATTGCTAGTAAATAGAACCACAGTGGGCTGGTCACCAATGTCTCAAGGGCTGGCAAAACAGCTCTTCCAACTCTTAATCTCCTCTGTTGTTCCCCCATTAGTCTACCACACAAGCTGTTGCTGGCATGCATCAGTTAGTGTTTTGAAGTGCTAACTGGACAGACTCTCACGGAAGCATCTGGTCAGATTGGCAAGGGTGCTGCAGACAACTTGGAGAAGAATCATTGAAAACAAAGGTCTTGAACTGAACAGAAAACTGTGTGTTACAGCTGAAGATAAAACAGGAGCTCAGATGTTACAGATTTTGTCAACATCTGAAATAGGGAGACATACCAAGAAATTAACCATTTTGTATGTCGTTTAGTTCTAGAATTTCATTTATGTAGACAGTGATTATTAATTCATAGTATCAGTGTACTGAGGTATACTAATGTCCTAGAGTGATCGTTTTGGGTACAGTAATACCAAGTATGAAGGGATATCACGTTAGGAAGTGCAGATAAATATGTCTTCTTTATTTGCATTGTTTACTGCAGTACCTGCTTGGACTTAGCTCTCAAACTTGAATATGCATCCAGAATCAGTGGCAGATTTATTCAAACATGCACCCAGACTTGTGCTGCTGTAACTGCCTGATGGCCCTGGGGGTGCCCTCAGCATGATCAAGTAGACCTGGTGGTCCCCAGCATCACAGGGTCCATTAGCTCTGCATCCACAGACCTTGATGTACAACTGACTGGTCCAGTTGATGGAGTATTGGCAGGAATAACCCCAGGGTCCTCGGAGCACTGCTTAGAACACCGACCAAAGGGAAACAAAATAAATTGGGGGGAAAACATTGCTTTAAAAAATCATTTTGGAAGAAAAGCACTCACTTCTACTTTATGCAGCTTCATTTTAAATATGAAATCACTTGAAACAATCACAATTTTTCCGTAGTCTTTCAACTGTAGCACTGTAGCACTGTCCTCCCACTGTTCATGGATTTGCTGGAGCAGGCACCAGCAATGTCTCCACTGTGAGACTTGTCACTGTTTTTGGCATATCAAATATGCCACGGAGAGCTTTCCAGGCTCTGCCATGAGGGCAGAACACTCTTGTTAGCTTGCTGGGCTCTCCCAAAGGGACGGAGGAATCGAGCCCAGTTGACTGCATGCAAGGCAAACGCCCTACCCTCTGTGATATCGCTCCAACCCCCTTCAACTGTATTTCCCTTTTTGTAATGATTACAGTTATCCTTGTAAAATATCATCTCTGTTTAGAAAACCATATAGTCCTCACTAGAGATTTAAATTATTTTTTAATGCAGAATTTGGGGTTACATTAAAATTTCCCTAAAATCACATACCACTTATTCTTACTTTAAACTAAATAAATTGGCACATGAAGATTAGATACAAATATTACTTCACAGAAGAGAAACCCATAAATATTTTTCAGGAGGCAAAACTTACTGGAAATTTCTTTACTATGAATCTGATAATGTTCAGCATTATCTACCTTTTTCTCTGTGTGCCATGACCCCATACAGTCGTTCAGTTGAATGAAGGATGATGAAATTTTGTTTAAAAAATTTATAAATATTATAGCGTTTGCTTGATTTCCATATACCCATGGTTGCATAAAAATATGTTGGACAAAAAAGGGATTGTAAGTGGAAAAAGTGAAAAAAAAACTAATCTAGTCCATGGAACTAAAAAAATTAGGATTTTGTCTGTCACTGTCACTGTCACTGTCCTCCTGTTGTTCATTGAATTGCTCAAGCGGGTCCAGGACCATTGTGGACTTGTTGTTACTGTGTTTGGCATATCCAATATGTCACGGGTAGCTTGCCAGGCTTTGCCATGGGGATTTAGTCTACATTTCATAAAGTTCCAAGTTGAGAGGAGTTGTTTGAACTTCCAGGCAGGGACTTCAGCTGAAAGATACCTACAGTGCTGTTTGGATGGAGAAGGTAGAGCCAAAAGAGCTTTGGCTTCTTAACTACTTTAACTTAGGTGTTAGGGAAGATGACACTTCTGAAATACATCTTGAGATCAGTGAACTAGTTCTTCCTCACTAATAATTTCAGTATAAAATTCAATTTTCAGTGGGTTTATGGCATAAATGCTACATTAATTCGTGGCGTCAACATTCCCTTAAAAATAAGGGCTGGAGAAATATAATACAGGGGGTAGGGCACTTGCCTTGCGTGAGGCCAATCTGGGTTTGATTCCCTTCTCCTTTGGTCCTCTAGCGCTGTCAAGAGTCATTCCTGAGTGCAGACCTTGGACAGTACTCCAAGTACCACCAATATTGCCCCCCACCACCACCAAAAATAAAACAAAAGCAAAAATTTATATTTAACAAATCCAAAGTGCTATGACTACAGATGGAATTTTTTAGGGTTGAGTGTTCAGGTTTGTTCACTATAAGCATTGTTAGGCGACATGTTCTTTGATGTAATTCATAAAGCAGAATGTTCCATGTAATAGTTTTCAATCATTCCTAGACTTCAGAATAAAAGCTTAAAAATACCAGTGTATGGAAAACTGTAAATATTTTACAGATTTGAGAAATCAGATATTAAGAAGATGCTGCTCTGTATTAAAACGTGCAAAATTCCCTTTTTCCTGCAAAAGAACTTCAACATTTCGTCTGTTATAAGTTCAGTAGTTGTAAACTCTGTTGTTATTTTTCATCTGAGAAAGCATTCACTTCCAGGGCTGGAGCAATAGCACAGCGGGTAGGGCGTTTGCCTTGCATGCAGCCGACCTGGGTTCAGTTCCCAGCATCCCATATGGTCCCCTGAGCACCGCCAGGAGTAATTCCTGAGTGCATGAACCAGGAGTAACTCCTGTGCCTCGCCGGGTGTGACCCAAAAAGCAAAAAAAAACCAAAAAACCCACAAACAAAAAAACACATTCATTTCCATATTGGATTTGAATAATTTAGCAGTACAGAGCTTTTGTGGCTAGAAAATTTTTACATATAGTATTATAAATGTGTCATTTCACTATTTTCTAGACTGTAGAGTTTCTGCTAAGAGATTGGATGATTATATGTTACAGATTTGGCCTCCCACACCCCAGCCCCTCTTGTAGGCTTGAATAATTTTTATTGTTGACTTTTGATAATTAGTTGATGCTGTATTTTAGTGTATGTCTTCTTTGCATTTAGAAATTTACATATGCTGTCACTGTCTGAGATTCTGTTGCTTAATTCTTTAGGTCTGGGAATTTCTCTGCTATTAATTTTAAATGGGCACTTCTCCCCTTCCTCTTTTCACTTTATGGCATGTTTATTTATCCTTATGTTTTCTCTTCTATAACATCTGATAGTTTTGAAAGTTTTCTTGATTTTTTTTTCAAATCTTGTTTTCTTTCTTCCATTTGTCTATGGGAATTTCAGCTCCAATCTAACATGTTCATTCCTCTGCAATATTTAGCGAATTTGAAATGCTTTTAAAATCTGCCATGAAGTACTTAATTTTATTTATTTTTCATATGCAGCATCTCTCTTTGGAATATTTTTAGTTTCCCTTTCTTCAAAGAAGAACTTCCTTTGCTCCTGTATTTCCTCTTTTATTTCTTTAATATTTCATCCTATTTCAGTGTGTATTTGATGTATCACATTTCTTTTTCATATTAGCTATTTTAATTCATTGTCTCTTGGACTCACCACTTCTGCTCATTGTTTTTTAGGGATTTTCCTTTTCTGTAGCTGAATTTAACATTTTTACTATTTGCTTTGTTTGCCTTTTTGTTTTTATAAGTGGGATTAAGTCTCTTGGTTTGAAGATGCATTTTGTTTTTCAGGTTGTCAGGTGTGTGAATGGTGAAGGCTAGATCTTATAAAGGTGTGCTTCTTTAATTGCTGCCCTTGTTGGGTAAAATTAGCCTGAATATAACATCCTTCTCTGTCCCTTCTCTCTTGTGACTGGACTAGTCTCTTTCAGAGTGCAAAGACTGGTCCCACATATTTTCTCTAGGCTAGGTCATAGGTATTAGTTGCTGTGAATGGTTTATTCTATAGATATCTTGTCTAGATTTCCTGTAAACAGGGAAAGAGTCTTACAACAGTTCTTATTTTGCATGGCTGAGCTGTAGGGCAGGGCCTTGTAGCCTGAAGCTTAACTCTAACGGCAGGAGTTGCAAAAGAAGCCCTACTGTGTGTGGCACTGCTAAAATTTCTGGTGTTCACAGACTGAATTTCCGGCCCAGGTAGCCAAGTAGGTCCTTTCGTCTTCAGCATCCTGGTTAGATCCTGGAGAACTGAATTGCCAAGGTCCTGTCCTTCTCATGCAATTCATGCTTCAAAATCTCTGAACTCTTCATCTAGCCAACGGCAGTTCTGAGCTCCATTTAATTATTTGCCAGCACTACTGCTTTCTGCCAGCTATCTTCAAAAATATAGGTGTTCTAACTGATGACATTTGTATGAAATGTACAGCCAATTACTGTTTCCAAAAGTCTTTCCATGATACAGCCTATTTGTCTATGTTTTGTAGTGTGTCTTTGGTGTCTTTATCTACTATTGATCTATTGGTACATGAACTCTGCAAAGACTTGATGTGCTCACCTTTCCTTTAGTACTATGTTTTCCTATAGCGACCCCTGGTCTTTACCCTGAAAAAAGAATTATTATACATTTCTCTGTCACTGACTCATCACACATATTTTCATTAGAATATTTATTTCATAATCATTCTAGGCACTTCCATTGCATCATATTAAACTCAGGCAACATTTTAAAAAAGCTTCAGTTTGTGGTAATGATGATCGATTAAAATAAATCATCTGCCTTCAAATATGGTATCTGGTTTTTAGTTGTTTTGTTCTTTTGTTGCTAGTACTGTATATTAAACACACAACTTATGTGTAAAAGACAACAGTAAACAAAACTTGGAGTTCTCTGAATGGTTTATGTCAAATGGAATCAATTGTCATCATCATAGGAATAAAAGGTTTTGCGTTTCTCTTGCAGAAAGAATTTAACAATGACTGTAAGTTGAAGGAGAGGATAGAGGAAAATGGATACAATACCTATGCATCATTAAACTGGCAACACAATGGGAGGCAAATGTACGTGGCATTGAATGGAAAAGGATTTCCCAGAAGAGGACAGAAAACAAGAAGGAAAAACACCTCAGCTCATTTTCTTCCAATGGTGGTCCATTCATAGAGGAAGGCAATGTCTGTGGATGAAGTAAAAACAAAGGCTCTTTTGCCAGGAATAGTTGATATTCATGAAGACAGTAGCTCAAAAGGCAAAGACGCATTGCAGATGTCTACTTGCTTGAAAGAAATGAAGCCTTTGATGGTTTTTATACTCCCTGCTGACATATGATGTTCTTTTAATTAGTTCTGTGTCATGCCTTATAATCAAGATATAGGCAGATCAAATGGGATGGACATTATTCCTAAGTGAACAACTTTGTTTGGGTTTTTGGGTTAAGTTTTTGTCTTCGTTTTGTTTTTTAACCTCTGAAATAGAATTTAAAGGACACAGACCAATCTGTTGAATACTCTTCGGGAAAGTTATTTATGGAATACAAACTCATTATCAAAAACTTTCACTGCTCATTCAAGCCCTATGATCCAATGAGCAGTAAGACACGCAAGCATTTACTGGAAAGCACTTGGTTCATATCATATGCACAACCAAAGGAACTTTGGGTGTCGCATCTTGTGTTGCATCTTGGAAAAATCAAATAGGATCAAACAATGTAAACATGTTAGTGTAAATCTGTTCTAACAAAACATAGTATGGTATGCTTGTGCATTCTGCCTTCATCCCTTTCTATTTCTAAGTTATTTATTTAATAGGATGTTAAATATCTTTTGGGGTTTTAAAGAATTTCCTCAGTGACTGCCCTCAGATTTGCCTTTTCTTTTTCTTCAGCACACCACATACATGATCATAACAAAGTATTTTTAAAACTTAGCAAACACTTCTGGAAAAGAAGATGAGATTGGAGAAGAGTTGAGTGTCCCTGTTCTCTCAGTGGGCTTAATTTGCACTTCTGCATTAAAAACCATCAGTGATGAATGGTATAGTGTGCCATGGCTGGGCTTGAGTGTGGCAGGGTTTGCCATCATTTAAGAACATAGATCACTAAGGCTTCCTTTCCTAAGAAATAGACCAGAATGTCAAATTCTTCTCTTTAGTACATCAGTGGATCTCCAAGAATATACGAAAAGAGGGAAAAATAAGTGTTAAGTATACTTTGGTAGCCTAGCCTCATAATTTACTAATGATTTATTTTTTAAACATGTCACAGTGGTAAGTGATGTAGAGGCCGTCTGCATATTATAAGAACCTTTTCTTAAGTACCACATAGTGCATCTCTCCCAAAAGAACTATTAAGGAATATTGGTATGAAGTGCAACACTCCCAGGGGCTTAAACTGAGCAAATATATCCTGGTATATGTGTAACCATATACTGAAACCTGTTCAAGCTGTATGATCTAGTCTTATAAAACCCAATAAAACTTACTTTCTGTAAATTTAAAGAGCTTTGGAAAGTTCTATAATGTAACCATATCAAAATTCATTTTGTTAGAGCAGGTATAGAAAACAGTACATAAGAGTGTACCAGTCATCATCACATTGTATTCCACTAAATAAACACATAAGCCTTATTTGCAGTGTCTGTAGTGATAAAAATGTAGAAAATGCTGTTTGTTCTGAATACTTTCAAGTGATAACTGTAAGATTATATTGTTGCTGCAGTTTATCTTCATATTTCTTGTTTTGAAAAAAATGTTTTATTGTTTGGACACTATTTCGATACAAGGAAAAGACTCCTCACCAAATGTGTCTTTTTTTTAACCGAAGTTTAACCTCTAGAAAGGCTGGTGTTTTGTAACTCTTTTATAACTCAATTGTGTCAATGCTTAACCAGCACTTCCAGTTAATCTGTTATTTAAGAATTAGCTTTATTAAGAAACTTTCCCATAAAGTAAACCCGTAAAAGGCCATCCTTTCCACATTCCTTAAAAAATTGAGATTCAACAGAGATAGATGCCTTTGAGGCAGAATGTTTTTGGCTTATAGCTAAAGTTGCATTTCATGGTCTTTAACTTCAACTTGTTTTGGGAGAAATGGGATTCTGAAAATTTATAACTTTTTTGTGGTTGGAATCTGTATGTTAAAATTTAATTGGTAACTTGGGTCTGGGAGTTATCATGTAATGCACTCCTATCAGAACTCGATTATCTTTGTTCTTTTATTTCAAAATAATAATTTCACCTGACCCATGAACATAGACCACCCACAACCAAAATGAAATGTTTGGTGAGACAAAGTATTAGATGACCATGGTAACAGCAAGTAGGGCACAAACTGGATTCATATTTCACATGGTCATTTAGATTACCAGAGAGACCATGCATAAACAGTCATCATTATAGTACTCAAAACAGCAAAACAGCTTCTAGCAAAATGTATCAAAGCTTGCAGAAGCCAGAAATAGAAAGTATCTCCTTTACCTCTCCTTTCCCCAACACACCGGCAGCAGCAGAGATAAAGACAGAAACAGTTTGGTAAGCAGCAACAAGATATTTCCTGCAATGAAATATGGCATCTTTTGCTCTTTATTGAGATAGAATTCTGGTCCCCTTTGCAGCTTGATTGTGCTACTGAAGGAAAAGCAGTTACCACGCTGAATGTTGTAATTTTTTTCAAACATCATCAGGATTTTGGGAGCTCTGCCTCTGTGGGAAGTGTGGTCACAAGACTAGTGCATTAGCCACAAACGTGTGTGGATGTGGGTTGTAGATTGTGAGGAGACTCCTCATAAAGAGAAAAAAAAAAGAAAAAAGAACCTCCCCCACCCCCACCTTTTCCTACCTCCCAAAAGCTGAACAGTGTATAGTTTGTTACATTTAAATGAATCAATAAAAATGCTGGGAAAAGAAAATAAAAATATTGTCTTTGTTTGTTTTATTGCCCTAAAACCATACCTGGTAATAGAAGCTCTAGTTCTGTGCATGGCAGGATGTGGTTAAATGCCCCACAGCCCCGAACAACAACAACAGAAAAAAATCACTCAAACATTTGTAAGGTTTCTTTAATGTTTTACATGTGTGAGTCAGCTATCCTTGCTCTAATAACAACCAAATGCTTTCGATTTTTCCTAAGTATTCAGGTCCACCTAGTTTACACAGTGGATAAAGAGGGATGAATTGAAAACAAGAATGGCTTATGAAACAATGAAAGACTTTGGAGGAAAGCCAGGAGGCTGCAAAATCTGATTTCAAGGGGGATAGAGTAGGCCAATGATTCTGACTTAAAAAGTAGAGGGGAAAAAAGACTTCATTTCAGATGGGTCCAGGGCTCAACTAGGTCATAAACATTATTTGAATAGATCAGCATCAATATCACACAACTTTAATAATTGGAATGTTGATTCAAGGTTTATGATTACTTAGCTAAAGTACAATGTACCTTTTCTTTATCAGTAAAGGCTTTAGTGTATCCAAATTTGTCTAAATAAAGATATCTGTTGGAAATCTTGGACTGTTATAGAGAAGATTACTGCTATAGTTAAAGTAGCACATTTACATGTAAAAAAACTACCTTCTTTATTAAGAATCCATATTGTGTTTATCTCTTTAGATAGTTCATTTGAAAATTAAACTAAGCTGTAAGAATGATAAAGAGATTTTGGAAGAATAGTGGAAAGAAAGGGCAGTATTGATTCCTGTAAGAACCAAGAACCCTTTCCTCTCAGGCACCATTTTCTTTTATCTGATTGGATATTGATTTTTGTAGTAGGATCCACATATGGCGATGCTCCGGACCTATTCTTGCCTCTGTATTGGCTCCTGGCAGGAGCAAAAGATAATCAGATAATCATATACTTACTTAGAGGTCATCCAACTGGAGTCAGCTGCAAGCAAGGTAAGTGCCTTTACCTCGCTGCTTTCTCTCCTGCCTCTCACTGGTTATTGATTGTCCTTAAATTTCTCTTCTTTCCAATTTGCAAACTTCAACCCTTATCCACCTTTATTCTCAATAAAGAAACATTGTTGATATGACCTTTCCAGATAGGTGTGGATGACAGATCACCTGCTATTGTTACCATATGACAAGGTATATGGGCATTTATGATTTGCACAGTGTCAGTCACATGAGCGCAGAGAAACAGTGCAAATTCTGGTTATTCACACTTAGGGAAAAATAATAAAAGGAAAGAGAAGGACTGCACTGGTCTGAGGGCATACCTACTAAATGAGACTATTGAAGGCTGAAGAGATTGTATAGTGGGTAAGGCACTTACCTTGCAAGTGCGGACCTGGATTTGGTCCTCTGTACCACATGTGTTCCCCTGAGCCAAACCAGGAGTAATCGCTGAGCAGAGCCATAAATAAGGTTTGAACACTGCCCATTGTGGCCCCAAATCCTAACCAAAACAAAAGTTTTTGAAAAAAAGACTATTAAAAGAGACTACTGATTTTAAGCACTTACCTTTTAATCCTGTGGGTTAAAAACAAACAACAACAAAAACAACCCTACAATTAGACTGCTTTTACTCAAATCAAGCAGTTTCAGGACATTTCATTTATGCATTTTTTACTTTATTTTTCTCTTTTTGTTTTTAGTCCATACCCATCTGTGTTCGGGGCTTACTCCTGGCTCGGCACTCAGGAATCGTTCCTGGCAGGGCTCAGAGAACTTGTGCAGTGATGCTAGGGAAGGAAGGGAGATGTATTCAGGACAAGTGACCTACACTTTGCACTATTCGTCTGGATCGTCTTTTGTGCATTTGAAAAAATGGAAATATTTTTCTATTTTAAAGCCAGAAAAAAATAGAAGCCTCTATCTAGCTAGGCTCATTTTAATTCTCCAAATTTTGTGGAATGATTATTGAGATGAATCCAAGTTTTCAATGAATAAAAGATTAGACCTTATATCAACCTGGTTGACATCATGACATTTGTATTTCTATAAACTTATCCATGAATATGTACTACTATATCAAGTTGTAGGGAATTAAAAAAATCTCAAATGCCATTTGTTCTTTAGAAATTGTAAAATAAAAGAGAAGCCATCTTTGCGTTCATTCAACATGAGATGACATAGATCACGTTTATATTTTTTAAAATTGATTAAAAAATAAAACACAATACAAGCAAAAATGTCTCCTGCAAATGACCTTACAGACACTGCATGTTAATTAAAATTAAATAATCATGCTCCAACTAATGAGATCAGAGGAATTGGTCTCATTCATAAGTGGATAATAGTGAACATTTCATGTGGCTGTTCCATGATAGCAGCTATGGGCCACAATTCCATAGTCAAAGAGAAAAACCATATGCCAACCATATATGCATGTGGCTTGTATTATCTTTCACATTTTTATTATCCTCCACAAAAGACCCTATGGTTCATTTTTTAATATAGACATTTGCATCCTCTAGAGATGAGCAAAGCAAATGAAGAATCAAAACATCCTATGTTCCTCATTACAACTGTAAATTAAACATGTTCCTTCATACAACTTAGGCAGTGACCCCATCTGTAGGATAACCAACTACAGTAAGATTTTAACTTTCCTAAAGTTTGGTTTTAATTATCTTGTACACATCTTAAATGCCTAAATAATCTTACAAATTTCTAAATTATGTAGTTATCATTTCTGTGGTCCTTTTAAGCTGCTGAAAATTCAGTAATTCTCAGAGAATTCTTTCAAGGAGAAGTGAATTAGAATTAGTGTTTCATGAGATACTAAAAAGTTGAAAAATCCCTTTTATAGTACAGGAAGTATTCAGGTTAGAGGTCATTTACCAATTCAATTCTGCAGAAAGTGGTTTAAGGGCCTGAGAGATATTATTGCTGGTAAGACTACCAATTCAGTTTTGATCCTCAGAGTTCTATCAGTAATGATCTATGATCAGAGAGTAAGGAATAAGAAGTGAACACTGCCAGGTGTGGCAAGGAAGAGGAAGAGGAGAAGAAGGAAGAAGAAAAAAGGAAGAAGAGGAGGAGAAGGAAGAAGACAAAAAATTTAAATATCTGATATTTATACAGTTGACTTCAGTAGTCTTTCTTTTTTAGTGACATGATCAATATGAGCAAGCATCAGTTGTATTTAAGCTAATTTCTACTAAAATGACATAAGAAAGATTTAGGAAACTTTTCAAATTGAGAAAAAGCAAAGAAGCAATATAAATTGAACTGCAGATACATAAAGATTAAACAATATCTTGTTTTTTTTAAGAATAGCCTTAAAAATTGATCAACAATATAGGAGTTTTACATTCCATATTCATATCTATTAAAAATAGTCAAATAAACATATTTCATCTGCAACAGTGTTCTTTCCCCTTTTAAACTCCATATGATGGTAATCAACTGAGTGAAATCTATTTCTCTTTTAGACTCACAAGCAAAAGATTTAGACTGAAGCTTACCTCAGCTGTTTAATGGGTAAAGACTTCACAGTCTCGTTAGCAGTGTTTAGAGGCAATTAATACTTGTACACTCTCTTTTCTGTTTTTTAAATATTCTTTTCTCTCCGTAAATATACACATTTCTTAGTGAAGAGATTATCCATTTAAATCATTTTAGTAATTAATTTCACTGTTGAAAAAAATCTAATTTAGGGATTGATATGGGTTTAAGTTCCTGTATCAGTAACTTCAAAATGCATCCTTACTTGGAAATAGGAAAGTTGTGACTGTATAAATTTAAAATGAGATAATCCTAGAGTGGAAAGGATAACTAATTCAATATGATTAGTATCCTGAT